CAACGACACGATTCCTATATTTAGGTGATTACACACTAATGAAAACATACCTATAAATATTATATTCCATTTCTGGATTTTCTATTTTCACACTGGACCTTAAAGGGTTCTCAAATTGCTCTGTCCGGCCTTTCTACTGGGACAAATGACAATGACAATGACTGAACAGCTCCGCCTTGTGGAGAACCTGCAGCCTATGAGTGAATCCATCAGTGAGTTACAGACATAGACTGTATAATCTGTGGTTACAGCTCAGGTACTTGATTTGCTTCACAAACCTTCCACTGAAGCAGCAGTCATCATCTACTGCAACTGTAACAGGAAAAGGTGAGCAAACAGGATGACTCATCAACTCCTCAAAACTCACTTTACTTAAGTTGGTGAGCGTGCACAGGAAGAGTGCCGATATCCCGACAGCAGAGCGTATCAAACGGGTTATCTCAGCTCCCATCTGCTCCTAAGTAAGACAAATAAAGAGAATATGAATGTGTGGATGATGATGAGTGTTTCTGGTGTAGCTTCCAGATCTGCTGCACAGATTGTGTCGCTTGAAGGTAACAGCAATATTAGCAGTGTCAGCTAAATTTTCCGGAAGCGTACTTCAGGCCAGTTGTGTGCAGCGGCACATAGAGCCACAACTGAGGAAAGATAAGAGATATAATGAGCAGATAGAAGCTGCTCCGAGGCCTCCTCTCTGCCTGTTTCACTGTGGATGGGAAGGATCTACATGGACACACAAAAGAGACAACTTGAGTCTGTTTTCTGCTACTGTTTTATTTAATTTGTTCAGTACTGGAGTTTCATGGACCAAACAATGGCACAACACTGCGTTACAGTTTCTCTCTTTGGGTACAACCAACTAACACAAACGTTAAAATTATTCCTCTACAAATTGGACTAAAGAACATACACACCCAGTCTCTTCCTCTATCACAGGCACCCAGCACAAAAACTCACCACACACACACACACACACACACACACACACAGATACACACAGATACACACAGAAACACTCACACTTACTGCACACACGTTCATTCTTACAGTGTCTCTCTCTCTCACACACACACACTCATTCACAATAGAATACATTCTTAGGAAAAATAAGTCAATTATAAATTTTAGAGCATTTCATATTGTTTTTTCATAACACTCATATTGAACAGTGCCCACCTCAAACAGGAAGTAGGCCGTACCATAACATGGTCTGTGTGGCAGCTATTTAGGAAGGCCTGGAACAATACCTAATGACAGTATGCTCTTATTTTGGAAAATTATCTGATGATCCAGTGACCTCACTGACAGTTAAAGAGTCAGTTTTTAAGGGGGTGATTATCAGCCAATATCTGTAAAAATATGTTTTTAAAATAATTTCCCATTTCGTTATTGGTTCTCTCAACTATTTAATAACTTATTTTTAACTGTGGCCAGATCAGTGCTATGCAGGGCCATACTTGTGGTTTTGCCTGCTTCAGCCCATTACATTGCTTTTAACATGACTGCATGACCGTTTGTGATTGGTTTCCTACGTTCGAGCCATATTGGTTTCATTTCAGTACGCTATGAAAATCAACTTGCAGAGACTAGAAAATTCCAACGCTGGGAACATTAAGTTGCCTTTACTTTCTTTAGGTATCCTGTGAGCATTTTAATAACTTGTATTGGTCGTCTGTTCTGGAATATGGAACAAAATCCACCTAACAGCACCTCTAAAGTTAACTAATTGAAGGTTATATATATGAGGTTTAAAACATTAATATAGCAGCAAACAACTATTAGCTATGTAAAGATATAGTGGAGTCATGCTGTCCTGAGCAGAGAATGTCACACTCTGCCTGTGTTGCTATCGCAGCCTCTCTGTGGTTTGTTTACAAAAGTTTGGTTTGTTTACTGCTCTGTGTGCAGAGACTGAAACTGCTGTTAAGGATTTATTTGGACCAAACCAGTTGGTGATTGTTGGAACACTTTGAATGAAGTTATGATGTTACGATGGTATGCAAGGTAAAATTACCGTTTTTGTTTATGGAGGCTGGTGGAGAGTGATAGTGATATTCCAGCTGTTTCTGATTAAACAAAAGGTCTATCTCTGTAGAGATCCTCTCCATAATGCTGTCAGACACACAACAACAACATACTTTGATTGCTGCATTTGACCCCAACATTAGCAACCATATCTAACTCTGAATTAAGGATTTATTTCGACCAAAGCAGCATTGGTTATTGTTTTATTGTTTTGGTCTAAGATGCTGCTGCTCTAGTGCGACATCCAGTGGAAAGTGAATATTTTTTGTTTTGCAATTTAGATGACAGGTTAATCAATGAGTTTTAGAGGTGCTGGTTGGCAGATCAAGGCTAGCTGATTCACATTTTCGCTAATTTATGCTAAACTAAGCTAACAGGCTGCTGGCTACAGCTACATATGTACTGCACAAACATGAGTGGTATCAATCTTCTCATGTGATTTTCCCAAAGTAGTTGTGCGAGTCTGTGCACACTGATTTTCAGAGTGTTCTGAAATGAACTGAAACCAGTTGCTGCCTGGGAAAAAGTAAACTTAAAATCTAATTCGGGAAAATACTAAGCAGTATACACGATTTGTAGTAAATGAGCTAAAACATGCAAGAGCTCCAGCCTGGTCTTTTAAATCTATAATCACTGGGCTTTGATAAGCTGACACTCCCTTATCTTCGTTGTGCTCGGCACAAAGAGTAGAAGCTTTCTCTTCACATAAATGCCACTGTTAACAGTAGTTTAGCTTCAACGCCAAGGAGTATCACATATGCATTATGCTAATCTGTCAGGGAAAGCTTGCCTCTTTATCAACAACACACAGATAAAGTTCACTTTCTTACAGTTGAAGCTGCAAGTGCTACGGACACACAGACATTATTCCGACTGTGTCCCTGCCACTACATTCACCTCCAGACCAACACTCCAGTCGCAACAGACATCTTTCAACTCCACTCGCATTGTGCAGATATAGGCCATCTTCAATATATAGGATTTCATAGACATATTATTACCAATGGGAATGACACAGAAACATTTAGTTGGGTTATAAAAGAAAAGCATAGTATACACACTATACTATTTAATGGAAAGAGGTTGCATCTGGGTGAATGCAGATAAGCAGTGTTTCAGAAACAGGCATATACTGTAGCAGTATGTATGTATAATGCCATCATACAAGAAGCCTTTATGGTGATGCTTCTTCTCTCTGGCAGCTATAGGACGGATGAAGCAGGACTGGGCAGTGAAAACACAGACTGTAGTGGTGGTGGCAGGTTGCTTACACTGTCTTTCCTCTGTGCGCATTAGTTTAACAGTCTTTTGAGATGCTGAAGCTTCGACCTAAATGTTTCCTCGTGGTGTGTGTTTGTGAATGGGGCTTGAAACTACTGTAACTGAGAGATTTTTGGGGCAACTGCGAGCTACAGAGTGGGAGCAATAACAGGAGACACAGCTGTCTTTCTCTCTCATCACCGCCACATGTGGCACATTTCAAAACAACACAAAAAAAAGGTAACAAATACGTAACTTAGATCTTTTTTTCCTACAGTTTAAAATATAAAATTCAAGTGCAATTAAAGTTCCAAATATTAGTTACATCACATACATTTCTCTCTAAAGTAACAATCTGTTACTTGCAGGTAGTTTATCTCATCTTGTTATATATCTTTTTTTATTATTTAAAAAAAATTACAATATAGACTTTCTGATTCACCCCATTTAATCTTTCCCTGTGTTCCAATGGATAAAGCACCCACTGAAGTGGAATGGTTTCAATTTCCCCACTTTAACATTTCTTTCCAATCATTTTCCATGTTAAAATGTGTCTTTAAGTGCACCAATTGTTTTCCTCATCTCTGTCTCGTGCACTTCGGGGGCCAATGAAGAATTCAGTATACATCCATGTACACTGTGTGGGCCAATGCGTCTTAACACATCATGCTGTGTATGTCCACACAAACATAAATGTCATACACATCTGTATGTATGTCGCATCTAAAACATCTGTGATGTGGGCTTCTGCAAGTTCTGACTTGTTCAGTATAAATATTACAAAAACAAAAACCACGACATGGAAAAACAAAGCAGAGCAAAATAAAATGAGAGAGGTGGAGGGAGGGAAAGGAAGGAAGATCGCAGAACAAAAGGTGTTAATGAAGGTGCAGAGATCTGGGAATGGTTGGGAGAGTAAGTATGAGTAAGAAGTATGTGTGCAGAAATAGGGTTTGACCGATATATATTGGTTTGCTGATACTGGCCTTTTACTAAATAGGGGGGCTGCTTTAAAATACCATGTACTTAACTGACTTTAGAAATGTATAATCAATGGCTTGCCCACAGTGAAGCTGTTGGCTGTTGGGGGGCCCTGTGGCTTAGGGGTTAAGAAGGCAACCATCAACTGTAATGTCTGGCTGGGGATCTTATCGCATCTCTCTTTCCCCAATTTCCTGTCATCTCGCTACTGGTGCTATCTAAAGGCATACAAAGCCTCAAAAACAATACAAAAAGAAATGCAGCTGGCTGGTGACTGCCAGCGTAGCTTCAGTTTTAGCTTTTAGGCTAAAAGGCAGAGGATTTACACATACCAAAGGGATACTCAACATGGGTTCACGCCTCTATTTATTTATGCAGAATAACAGCATATTACTGCTGGGTAAAGCTTAAATGAATGATGAAACACCGGAAGCAGCCATTAAGGCCAAATTATGAATGTTCTAACAGTATACCATCTTGTATCTGTTATCAGTCACTGAGGGCCACTACTGATTTGAAGTAGATTCCACCCCTGACTACAGCTACAGAAGAAGTCTGTAAAACATGCAATGAAATGACACGTTTGGTATAAAATGGTTAAATTTAAAGAAACAATATACACTATACTGGCCTTCAAAAACCCATATTGGTCAAACCTTATAGAAAAAGCTGCACTCAATGGAGGGAAGGATTAATGATGGATTACTAGTTAAAGGGGTCAAAGATGAGGAAAGGTATCATGTGACAAATACAGGAAATTAAGATGTTTAGTCATAGAACAGGTACATCAATGTATGGGGGGGGGGTTTACATTTAGGTTGCTGGAATTAAAAAATGGCGTAGGATGACGAGGATCTTTAACAGGACACTGGAGAGGCCCCGTCTATTTGTACGGCCGTAGGAACCTGGTGACTTTGGAGCGCAGCAGCTTGATGAAGGAGCGAGGGAACATCTCTTTGGACTCCTGTGCTGTGTACCTGAAGTAGTTCTGGGGATGGGCCAGCACGTCAAACAGGGCCTTTATCAGCTTCTTGTCCTGTAGGGAGGACACACGGACAATGAGTGTCATCCCACCGGACCAACCTTTTCAACAGTAGATGTCGTTACCTCAGAATCAACGACCATAAGGCCGGTCATGTTCTGTATCCTTCCATACCTTCAGTATTTCCTGGTGGTTCTCGGAGGCGTAGAGCCTGCCATCTCGCACTATGTCCTCTATCAGCTGCTGGTAGTCCTCTAGAGCACAACAGTTAAATGATGGAAAAGAAATAATCACGTGAGTCACAAAGAAGTTTGGAACTTTTCAATAAAGACTAACTCACTCACGGCAGCCTGCAGGTGAGATTAGATCTAACTCAACTCACCATCGTAGGTGACATATGGAACTTGGAAGCCTTTGCCACTGTTGCCCTCGTTGGACTTGAACTGAATCCAGAGCTTGCGAGAGCGAGAGGTGAAGGCGATGGGTCGCTCATAGGTCTGACACGTCTCATAGGTGGTGATGGAGGTGGGAAGGGCTGGAGGAAGAGCACAAACATGTTATCAAAGCTATAGTTCATTTGCTTTAGTCTGAATCAGTAGATGAGTCGGTAAGCTTGTGTTTCGGTTTCTTTCAACACAAGAAAGAATTTAAGCGAACCATGATGCATTAAAAGCCAGGTGAAAGCCACTTTGACACACATTTTGAGTTTTTAATAAATGTTTCTACTGTAATGTTGGTCATACAATAATATGAATATTGATATTAAATCAGTGACCTGCAGGCTGTCGACAGACAGATCATAAATCTGTCTGATCAGTGCTGTTCTGGTAAAAAAAGGAAACTTAAAATGTATTTTTACCACTCTTCCTCATGACCAGCACGTCACCACACTCATCCTCAATGGGGAGGAAGATCTCTGGCACTACGATGAGAATCCGCCTCTTGTGTGGTGGGTTAATGGTCCAGACACAGTCCACATTGGACGGGTAATCCCCGGGGTAGTTGGGAGACTCGATATAGCCTGTGTATTCTCCCAGCTCACCTCCACACAGCTGATCTGAGGACAAAATAATAGAAACACTTAAAACTCATTTCAATACAACAGAGCCAATATCTGAAAAACCTACTACTGTCTCTGAAGCCTGTACTCGTCTGCCATTCGTTATCAATCTCTCTGGATCAGTTATATATATTTCAGAAGGAAGCTAAATGTGAATGTTACTTTTGCAGTGGGAGACGTTGGTGGCGCCATCAAAGTCAGTGGTGGTGTTCCCTGGACAGGTGATGCAGTAGTTCTGCCCAAACTCAGACTGGTAGGTTCCTGCTGGGCAGCGGATACAGCGGTGGGTACTGGAGTTGTAGTAATGTCCTGGAGCACAGTGCACTGAGGAAGAACAGGAGGGAGTCAGTGTATATGCAATATAAACTGAATGAAGATAAACAGCAGGCCATCTACAAATACATCACACAGCTGCACTATTATTTATGCCTCCATTACAAAACAGGCAGCCAGGCAAAGCACTAAAGCCTGTATGCTTTATGCTCCTTTATGACGGCATTAGCAACGAAACTGCTGACAAATGGCTTGTTTCATTGCAAATGCCAGCATTAACATACACAGTTTTGAATTGGCAGATAAAAAGCTCCAATTACACAGAGAACGTACACAAACTATAGAACAGGGCTGCCCAAAGGGCAATAAGGGTGGATTTGGCCTGCCAGATGTTCCTAGCAAAAAACAATTAAAAATTAATTTGTATATATATATATAATATAAATCTGTGTTTATGCAGATTTTTTTAATTTTGATCCCAAATGATTCTTTTTCATAATCTGTGCACAGCTGGGAGAATGACCATTAGTCATTCTCCAGTCCTAGTGCCAATACAATACAAAGGTGTTTGCTATTGGCCCGAGGTCCAGCGTTACTGTAGTGAGTAGACATATAAAGATGTACACTGTCTGACACAAAGCCTCACCTTTGGCCTCACAGTCCCTGAAGGAGACAGCTCCTTCATACTTAGTCATGAGACCTCCTCCGCAGGGGAAGCAGAGGACTCGGCCGGGTTCTGGCTGGTAGGAGCCCAGCGAACAGGGCTGGCACGGACGGAAGCCGTCAGCAGAGGAATGACCTGCTGGACACTGACCTAAGGGAAGGACAAAAGACAATTTGCTCTTTTTAATGTATCTGTATCTGTATCTGTCACTAAGACACTGTTTGACTAAACTGTTTGAAGTTCTATATGAAGTACACAATGTAAGAGTGCTTCTCAGAGAAGGATCAGTTGGTAAATATCTTTCTAATCACAGCTCTCTAACACTGGTTGGTTGTGCTCTCTTGTGGCTGTGACTCACATTCAGTTTTCATTAATGGCCACAAGGTGGTGCCAACCCCACATTTACACATGCATATTGTACATAGAGACAACTCTTTTACTGCATACTTGAAACACTACTACTGCAATTTTGCCCCGAAGAAATTTTAATATATATAATATAATAATATAATATAAGTTTTCAGCAAAGTGAAATTCTGGCAGAAAAAATAGGGAACCAAGTTGATTGACAGTCAGAAGATAACTAAGGTTCTCTAACAGCCTGCCATTCTTCATTTAGGACTCCAAATGACAATGGTAATAGATGGTGAGTTACCTCCACACTGAGACACGTTCTTGGCACCAGCGATGCCCTGTCCTTCAGTGCTGGGACATGGTTCACAAGACAGCTGACCCACCGTGTCCTGGTATGTACCGGAAGGACACTGGACACATTGCTCCTGCTCGCCGCTGTAGAACGTCCCCATGGCACAGCTCACTGAGGAGGACGACACAGGTGAGCACTTTAAAGGAAATACTCTCCTCATTACGACAGTACAGCAGCATCCTGACACCAGCTGACAGCTAGTAAAACTCTACTTACCACACTTTCCGTCTCGGAGGACTTGTCCGGTGCTGCAGGCCTCCGCGCCCTCGGGTACCCTGGACGGTTTTTGGGCCACCTCGTACTCTGTCCCGGAGAACTGGATGTAGAACTGCTGTTTGTTGATGGACTTCCTGAGCGTCCGCATGGCATTCTGCAGCTTCTGCTTCATCCGCTCCCGCACACAGTCCACGTTACACGAGTCTAAGGAGAAACATTGTGTTTTTTTAAAAACATGCTCCAATAAAAATACAAATTTTGCTTATGTCTCTTGTCTCTGTTATGTATATATTGTATTTTGCATATGGTTTGATACCACAAGACACTTTGTGTTTGTTTTTAACTTGAACCGCCATCTGTTCTAGACCCCTACATACTATTCAATACAGTAAGAATTCATATCATTCATAGTGGAGAAAGAACATCTCACCTGAGGCTTCTTCCTCCTTCATCTCCATCTCAAACTCAGCTGTGATGTGGGAAACCTCTTTTGAAGGAGATTTGCGTCCCCGCCGGCGCTTCTTAGACGAGTCGCACTTCAGGTTGACAAAAGTGACCTGGCAGTTGTCGGTGCAGGGGAACTGGCCTCCTTCCAGGTGACAAAGCAGAAGTGACAAATGAGGAGGAGGAGATGGAGAAGGAGAGTCATAATGGGTAATAATTAAGCACTAAAGATATGTGCCGTTCTTTCAGTTAGTGTAAGTTGCTGATGCAGTGAAACTCTTAACGTCAGAAGTTCTTTACCTTGCAGGTTCTGCTTGGATGAATCTCTGTGTTTCTCCTTGTTGCGGGGCCTCAGGTGACACTTGGCGTCTTTGATCTTAAACCTGGCCTTCTGTTTGATGGGCGGGGCCAGAGTGTCTTTATTCATACACAGCAGAAAAAAGACTATTAAACAGTGTACAATCCAATCAGTGGACATTTGTGACAACTTGTATGCAACTTTGTTCATTTTTCTACTTTTTAGAATGTAAGATGACATTTTCTGCCCTCCCCGTCTTTTAATCTATTTACTATTAAGCACCGCACTTTAGTCACACCTCCAATGTTAGCAACTGCCTCTTTTAACCTGACAGCAGGACATGTTCACGCAACTGCTCCCAAATTCCACTTATATTTGCAAAGGCTCCAGAATAAGCTAGTAGAGAATCGTTTCTGCTGTCAGTCTGTTCCCTTATTATACACTACTGAAAGTAATGGGAAATGAATGCTAAAGGAACCCTGTTTTTTGAGTTTTTCCTTTGCAATGTTGATGTAGTGGTTTACATTTCTTCCTGCCGGCTGTCGATTTATATCATCATTTCATGAGTAACATTTTGAGTAATAATAACTTTTTCTCAGGTGGAGTTGGCCAACATGAATATTTTTAACAATTATCAACATCATCATGTTATTATTTCTTTACTGAGCTTAGTGATCTCACAGAGAACTGGATTACACCTATGAGCTCTCCTTTGCTGGCAGTGCGCGTCTAGAGGGCAGTACCCGGATCAGTCCAGGACCTGACAGCCTAATAAGCTGCTGTCTGAGTAAATCAACTGCTGAATACATACAGATTGCAGCTGTAAAATCTAATTTGTTCTATGACATTTCTTATTAACATGCTCTTAAATACCACATTTCCCATCATGCTTGATGCTTGGCCTACTGTACCGGCACAGGTGGGTAAGGCAGCGGTGGCATTCCTCTTCTGAGGAGCTTTACCAGGCTGGACGGGCACTCCACAGCTCAGTGTGTAGCTGTTCTCCGAGTCTGTAACACACACACACACACACACACACACACACATTAGACTACAGTGAGGAAATAGAAATCAGACATGATGATGAGAGGTTAGGGAGGCTGAGAGTGTATGGGTATGGAAGCGTGTATGTTTCACTTGGCTATGCTATGCCACAGTTTCAGAGGATTGAAAAGAATTTTATAAACGTTGTATGACCTTGCTGTTCTGTATTCAGAAACGAGAGAAGTTGAAGGCAGCCCAGAGGAAACTCTGCTGCCATGTGACCTTAAACCCACGACTGAGAAATGAAAGCCTGAATGAAAGATCTATGGACCCTGTCTCTCTATCTTGATACACATGCACACACAAAGACGCATTTCAAGTAAGAAATGAGGGGTGAAGCCTTCAGAGGTCATAAAAGCGGGATGATTAAATAAGAGCCTGGGCTGCATTCAGCCACAGGAATTTACATGGCTCCCTCCCCCTAAAATTAAGACGCACTCCAAAAAGACAGAAAAACAAATATTTCACCTCATGCCTGAGAGCTATCCATCATTCTCACACGATGGCCGCCAAGTTAAACGGAGCGAGGGCCACGCTATGGAAAAAGTGGCGTGATCAAAGAATGTAATCGATTTACAGATGTGTGTTAAGTACTATCGCAGGAGGAGAGGATGGGGTGCCAGCCAAAGTGCTGGGACGGGTTGAGCCAAGAAAACCTCGCAGAGTGAAAAACACGTCAGTCTGAGTGGAGAGCCCCCCGAGGAGTCAACAAACATAGCAATAAAGAGCACGAGTGGCTTCATTGAGCTCAGTCGCATCCAGAGGAAAGGATGGTACAGGAAGCTGTGACTGCCAGCTGTCACCACCAGAGGGCAGCAACGTGTGCAGAGTGACAGCTACAGACAGTACAGAGCTCACAGAGAATACAGAATGAACTTCATTGGCGGGGTCTTCGACCTAAAGGCTCAATCTTTAAATTACATTTTATTCTTCTTTTGCAGGATATTTCTGTTGAAAGAAAGTTAAATGGATAAAGGCAGGTTACAACATGTTACATTTAAGACTTTTTAAGACCTTTTTTGAATCATTATGAATGCAGTTTAACTCCATTTAGACAGATAAGACTAGAAATTCCTTGACTGATGGACTTGATGGTTCCTTAACTACAGGTTTAACAGAACCAGCAACTTCAAGATGTCACCTGGAACTCTGGGTAGTGCAACTGGCAATTAGTTGCTTAGTGCAGAAGATATAAGTACATTTTAGGTGGAAGACGGGCTTCTGAAGTCTGTAAAATGTTGCAACTTCCCACGTAGGGGCGCCTCGGTGCCATGCCTAATGAGCCTATATATTAATAGATTTATATATACAAAAATAAGAAACAAAAAAAAAATTCTAAGATGAGAGAAAATTTTTAAATAACATTTAAATCTTGAACTTTGGGCTCTAAGCAGAACTATTTTATTTACTTTTAATAGGTGCATTTTTTGCACATTACATACAAATGTACTACATGTATGGCAAGACTAAGAATCTAGGGCTATTCTAGAAATATTTTACTGAATAAGTAAAAACATGGCACTAGAGGTTAAGTCAGGGACATCAAAGTCAATAATATTCCTCCTCTGGGGACCATGAATGTCTGTACAGATCGTCATGACAATCCATTCAATAGTTGACAGACAGACATTGCCATCCCTGGAGCCAAGCAGCTAGCACTCTTTACGTTATGTTTAACATAGTAGACAATGATAACACTAAGTTCTAAAGCTGGAACTGGCAAATGTTGTATTTTTTTTGTATTTTACTTAAAACAGGAAAGCACAATACATTTTATCTTCACTGCTTTTTTCCTTAAGATTGTTCTGCTGTAATCACGTATGTAAAATGTGTGTGTGTGTGTGTGTGTACCTGCGAGGAAGAGGGCGTTGGAGGGGCAGGAGAGCGAGCAGACCTCCGCCCCTCCGCTCTTGGTGCAGGTCAGCTGGGCTCGGGGCGCTGGCTTCCCATTGGGCAGACACTTCACCGCCTCTGAGGAACACACAGAGTCACATCACCATGACAACAACCTGGACACACACACACACAGTTGAGAGTTGGTGCTTACCGATGCAATCTTTCTTGTTCCAGTGGAGTTTCTGTCCAGGTGGACACACACACTCGTAGCTGCCCTGGGTGTTTATGCAGCCGTACTCACAGCTCCCGTTGCTGATGCTGCACTCATCGATGTCTGAGACACAACCACAGAGAGCGTTACACGTCCTTCTGTTTTTACTATTAATTAGACAAGGGAAAACTAGATAGGGGGGCAGATTGCAGCAGACAAAAGATCTGGATTATAGGCACATGTTATTCTGTAGATGAGAGGCTGTGAAGGCCTATCCATTAATGGGGGACCCAAAAAGGTTTGTTAGTTTCCACATACCTTTACATCATTAGTACATCGAGAAAATACAGCATATATCTGTTAATACACGTATCCTGCTCCTGAGAAACAGTCAGAACTGTTTGTGTTGACTGTGCTACAGGCGCTTGATAGCACACACACATAATACACACAAATACAAACCAACACACATGCACGCACACACACTCATCCTGTGTCCACACAAAAATGCAGGCACAGAATTATTCAGGGGGACTGAGGTGTGAGAATGCTTTCAGCAGCGGCCGTCTGCAGACGCTTAATGACCACTCACCTTCACACTCTGAAAAGTGTTTCCCTTTCAGATGCATACACACAAACACACACATTTTATCTACTCTGTCACACAGACGTCACACCCACTGCCGGGCCAGTTTGACGTTTCATGCAGCGGGATGAACTCTCACCTCCGCAGTGAGTGAGGCCGTACAGGATGTATCCCTTGTTGCACAAGCACTCAAAGCTGCCTGGGTAGTTGATGCAGGTGTGGTCGCAGGTTCTCTCAAAGGAGCACTCGTCAATGTCTGAGGGAGACCAAAGAGATGCACTGCATCATCATCATCATCATCATCATCACAAACACAGAAAATTAGGCTTCATTTGCTGTTATTGTTCATTCACTCATAGTTGTTGCAGCCCACATCCAGAGGCCATTTAAAACTAAGTCTTAAAGAGAACATAAATGTCAGGTTATCCATCATGGTTAGTACAAGTCATCCTGAGAAAACTATTGTATAATGTCATCTGTGGCTAAAATAACCCTGATGATGACTGCAAATGTATGACAGACAGCCTAACTGGGGATATAGAGTTTAACAAACGTGGGAGTTTACCATGCAGAAAAAGCCAAATAAAAAGATATTATTGTTTGCATTGTTGGAAATGTAAGCTCCAGCATTTCTGGAGCTTGACCCATACTAGGGACTAAATGTCAGGATACCTTTGACCATTCTTCTTTTTCTGTTTCCTCTGCAAAACTAGAATGCTGCAGTGCAAGTTTAAAGTACTTGTGCCCTGGCTTTAATTTGGTTGAATGGTGTAACAATATATACTGTGAGAAATAGAAATGTTGCTTCACTGTTTACACTGTATAGTTTCAGTTCATTTCCAGGGTGGCTTTGCTTATAAGATAAGATAAGATATTCCTTTATTGATTTGATTTTATTAATCCAGTTCAGTTTTCATTGTTCAAAAATGTTTAGTATTAGTATTAGTTTTAGTGTTGTTTATAATATGGGGGGTATTTGTCAGTTCAGAATTGGCATTACACTACAAAGAAATTGACTTATAGTCATGTAGACATCCCAGTCCCAAATATTTGCACCAATGGCTGCTCATGCTTGTTGTTTTGACCAATTTAACCAAACTGACAAATACAAAACTGTGTCAATTTTGACATGTTTTGCAGATTGATTCATGCAAATGTGCTGACGTCCTGTTGATGGTGGACACACATTAATGGAATGATGAACTGGTTCAGTCATGGTTTAAATCAGTCTATTGAGAGTTTTTGTCCCGCTGCGTCAGCGGAAGCAAAGGTCAGCGGGATGAGTGGTTTACAGACATTGCAATCTCAATGACTCATTTATGGACACAGGCTGCTCACCAAGGTCCGAAAAGGCCGTCCTATTAATCAAAGTGGACATTATAGTAAACAAATACATGCGTTCCACACTAAACTAGGACAAGAGCTCATTCTAATAAACCAATCCAGGAAAAACTCCACTGGACTGAGGCTGAGATGGCTCACACTCACCGTTACGTCAGCGTCTATGTGAGTGTGCACGCCTGCTCGCACATGTGTTTATGTATACTTGTCCAGCACCAAATATTATTAACTTATCAGGAATGGAGGCCAGCCTTTTAAGTTCACCTGGTTTATTTCAGGCTGTTCCACGGGGCTTTACAGGGGCTAAAAATACGACATGCTATAATGGAGTTTGTCATGTGGAGGAAGTTGTTAAGGCCTGGATGTTGGCTCGGTAAATATTCCAGGCAACTGTCCATGCAGGGACTTAGGAATAGCTTGCCTGTTTTGAGCGAGCCCACAAGCAGAGTTTACATAAACTGAGCCGGGCACACAGGAGTTGTCTAGAGCTGTTTAATGTAAAAGGAACATATATAAAACAAATGTTGGTTTCTGGTTTGGCTGATGTGTTTTTCTGTGAGACACACCCTCCGTCATGATGAGGTGTTTTGACAGTGATTGCTGACGTTTCTCTAACTAACAACATTCTCTCTATCTCTCTGCCTTTCTAAACATTTAGAATAGAGGGAATAATTTGTGGGAATTGCTTATGCAACTATGGCAAACGATTAATCTTCTTTGCTTTGGTTTCTTAGCCAGTTCTGGCGAATGCTTCCACACTGGCATGTAGTGTATCACCGGGAGCTATTTTCTCTGGAAAGGCTCACTGGCACAGAAAAAGCTGACAAATTAAACATTACATTTCATTTTAAGGTCAAGTTGAAGCTGAACAGTCCAGATGTCAGTGGATGGGATAAACCTAGCAGCTACTGGCTGGCATGGAACGGTGGCAAAGGTGTGTCAGAAATAGGCACCGACGCTGTGATGTGGCTGACAACACTCAACACCACATTATTAAAGACTCCAAACGCGCCGCCGATGATGCACAGTTAATCCGACACATACACACATGTGTACACACTGTTTGGTGGTTTTGGGCCTGGGACAGAAGCACCTCAGGGATTTGTTGTTAATAAAATCATTTTGTGTTTGTCTCCCGTCTCGCTTGCTGCAACTTGTAACCAAGAATCTGCCTTTGGTCGTACAAACATAATCGCTGATCATAAGGAGGTTTCTGCATGTACACTACACACCCAGCTACCCTGCTGCAACAAACTGCAGATTACAGACTGGGGAAAGATGCTTGACTTTTTCTTATTTTTGCATCTCAGCAATGTATTTATTGTCACACTACAGCAGCTGGAGTTTAGAGAAACAGTTCGACATTTGTGGAAATATACTTGTTTGCCATCTTCAACAGAGTCAGATGAGATGATCAATACAAATTTCTTCTCTGTTACTCCAGTGGGTCCACCGGGACAACATGCAAGCACTGGACCTGATTGAAAGTGTATAATTTCTCTAGACTAATGTCCTGCAGGACCTAGTGTATCCCTGGACTAATCGAGAGATCAAATTGATATAGATTTTCTCATCTGACTCCAACAAAGAGGCCAACTTGCTCTGGGGCTCAGTTTCCCATTCACACATTAATGGGTCAATGGGTTTGAAAAGACACAGAAGACGGCATCCTAAACCAATAAAACAATGGGAATCATGAGTGATTGGCTAGGCAGCCAACCAAAACCTCACACAAGGGAGGCTGTCCCTGCTTAAATTTCTCACACTATCAATAACTGTAGCTCATTGTAAGAGAAGCAGAGACTTTTAATGTTTTAAAATAATACTAGTGTTACATTAGGTATTAATATGTGTACTATCAACACAAAAACAATACAAAATCAATTTTGACTTGACTCATGGATGACACCCTGAGCCTGATACCAGCACTGATGACACATTGACAGTCTGGGCAATCGGCAACTGTCAGTCACTGACCTTGGCATGTCCGTTCATCAGTGAGCAGTTTGTGGCCCTTCTGGCAGCTGCATTCGAATGAGCCCACCGTGTTCCGGCAGAAGTGATCGCAGCCTCCGTTGTTCTCCTGGCATTCGTCAATGTCTGGGTGAAGAAAATAAAAGAATGAAAAACAGAAAGTATGTTCTCCTGAGTCCACCTGAACAGCAGCCAATGTGGTAGAGCGCATGCAGTCCATGTTCAAATGGTTGCATAATCTAGAACATAACAGTAACACTGCACCACTCTAACACACAACTGTCTTACCAGTATATGAGGATACACAAAGACACAAAAACGCCACCATTATTACTGTAAATATGCATCAGGCACACAAACTAAACAACACAGAAGAGAACCCTTCTCCGGTCCAAGCTTAAAATCTATTCAAAGATTGGTGAAAAGGTCTGTATTGACATTAGAGTCTCAGATATGGTGGATGGAGGGATTGTTTTTCTTATGCTCTTTATTTTTGTGCTTCCATAGGCAAATAGAGTTGGCAGCGTTGAAAGACTGTCATCAAGTTTCCACCTTATTTTAAACCACAATACCAGTGTGCTGGAAAGGGAGCTCGGTGGGTGCAATGCCATTGTTTGTGGCGGCTCATTATTTAAAACCCTAATCGTCCGTAAAATGTCCAATTGGACCCAAAGCACATTCGTTCGGCCGCCTGTTATTCTGAAAGCAAACACCCGTTGCTCCAAAGGCTAGTTGTTACGAAATTAGATGATGTAACTAGGTGATGTAACCCTAACCCTAACCCTTATTTGAACCCAAACCATAATCTTTTCCTAAACCTAACAAAGTAGTTTTGATGCCTTAGTCTAACCAAACCGTTTCACAATGTTATCCATGTGTTTATTATTGTTATCATGATGATGAAAGTCACTTGACTTTGTCCTTTCTTGCACGTCCATCATCGGACAATATGGCTTTCGGTCAAAGGGGACATTTTTTCGATCAATGGGTCATTGGAACAATGGGCAATCCCTGCTAAATCAGCCTCAGCCACACAAACACAAAGACACACTGTCCCAGCACAGCACAACAGGTGGGCACAAAACAGTTCATTCTGCTGTCCTTCCTTCTGCTGTGGTTTAACATGCTGACTTTACTGATGCTATTCATCAACTTTTATTGTTATTATATTTTAATTTCTGTTTCTGTCCTTTTATATTTTTATTGAATTTTCCATTTGTGTGTACTGGAATGGTACATTTAGTGTTATGCCTGTTTAACAGGGCTCCAGCAGGCGGCGTGGATAAGTCTTTGAAGGTTTAGCCCTCTGGTTCATAGGGATCCAACTGTCTCATCCCATGATATGTTAGTTACCTGGAACTAATGGAGCTGCTGGGAGAGAGGGAGGAGAGACAGAGACTAGTCTATTAATGCCCCTTCCTTTTGCAGAGTGGGTGATGGCCAATAAAAGGGGTGATGGTCACGTCTTTATATCTCCCTCCACCTTTGAATCCAGAACTTCACTGGAAAATATAGTTGACAGACTATACAATATTCACATCCAGTTTTTTTCAGCCTAGCTTTGAATTTAGTTCTACTTTGGGTGCATGATGAGAAACCAGACATCTGTTTTTGTGGTTTCAGGAGCTTAAGAACAAAAGAAAAAAGGCAACAAAAAGGATGCGTGGAGGAAACACTGACATCTCTGTCTTTTTTGCCTTTGTATACTACTAATTTGCAACAGCAAATGGGTTTAGAAACATAATGCCACCTGTCTTACTGGGTTGGGGTTATGGTTATGTTTTTAATAAACATATCTGCAAAGTCACACAATATAGATACTAAATGTATCTGCAAAACGTAATTAATTCATTTTCATTCTGATATACTCATAGTAACATCATTAACCTTGTTACGGTACTGTCACAGCACTTGTGAACACAAAAGCAATTCCTATCTTGCAAAACATACTTATACTATCTAGTTTGCAGTCATATACTACAATTTTCTGTTAAGCATATCATTAAAATTGCATCTTCTATATTTGGGTCTCAAACTAATTTCTTGATCTTGCCAAGAGAGACGATCTCTGTGGCCTTGCTTACAGCCTTATTCATACCTAATTTGTTTGATTAAAACATGTTTTGCATATAAACCTGCAAATGAATATACAACCCAAGTGAAAATGATAACTCTAAAACTGGCATTCAGCAATCATAATAAAATGCTGTGTGAGAAGTTGTTAAGATGCTGCTAACAGCATTCATGTTGGCCCCATAGTCAAACAAACAAACAGGCCTGTGGTCCACGGGAGAAAGTGTCTGCTAAATCCGTGTGGAATAAAACCTGGATACCTGAGCTCTACTGCAGGTGTGGTGCAGCACTCCAGAAACGGATTCTAAAATAATAATAAGGTGAATGCAATCGCCCCAGAGGCAGCATGTTCCGTGCCAACCACAAACCTGCTGGCAGATCTGGTTTCACAAACCCCAACCATCCAACCTCAGTCCCTCGCCTCATGCAGCCGACAGTGCCCTCGGATGAACCCAGACGGCAAAGTCAGGTCTTTAACTTTTTTAATAATCTGTGAGTTTTTCAAATGAATACATTTTGGTTCTCCTTATCTCTCATTGATAGCAAGTGCAGCCCCCTCCATTTGCTGCTGTAAAAACTGTTTCTAGATGTGGAGAAGGGCAAGTAGGAGATCAGGCTGGAAAAAGTTTGATGGAGGAGGTAAAGGTGGAGGAGGAGGAGTGGAGAGAGGGGACAATAGTCTGGCAGATTACACAGGCTAAGCCCTTTTTGATTGGTGCTCTAAGTGATGAAAACTGTGAGGGATTAACACATAAACCCTTGAGCTGGGGAATAAATCGAGCAAGACACCACAGAGAAACAGAGGGGAGGAGAGAAGGGGAGAAAAGAAAAGAGAAAGGGAGAGGATGTAGGTAGAGGAGACAAGACAGAGAAAAAGGTGGAGGAAAATTGGGGTGGGAAACAAAAGTAAAAATTAGACGAGAGGGAGAAAGACGTGGGTGAAAGAAGGGAGAACGTTTTAATGTTACATGTCTTGTGTTCGGTAAAGCCTAAAAAAGAAAAAACAAAATGATGGTGACCTTTCCTCTGTTTCACAGTTCCACCCAGAAGCACCAACATTACTTTTCATTTATTAAAATTTTGATCCTTTAAATCGATACATCGATGTAATAGATGAATCGTTACACCCCTACTATATATATAATGAATTCTTTACCCTTGGTGGTTTTATATTTGTAAAAAAAAAACAGAAAGCGAGAAAACTTTTTTGGCTCATGTTGTTGCCAAGCAGTGTCTTATTCGAAGAAAAACAACCTTGACAGGTCTGCGCCTAGTTACATGTCAAGCTATGATTGGACTCTTTGGGGTCATTACATTGACCTAACCTTGTTAAGCAACTGGATCATCAAGATCATGAGATCACCAGAGAACCCATCTTGCCAGGCTTCTAGCTATGTGGTTCTGTCCAAAGTGGTTCGGACCAATCAGCATCCTGACTTCCCATATGGTTCTGTTTAACAAACCATCTAGTGCAGTCAGGTTACACTAGAACCGCTGGACTCCAATATTTTGATCTATGACATTTGCATACTAACGTTACCAAAGCCTAAATTTTAAGAGCTCAGTTTTTGCTATGTGATCTTGATGGATTGATGTAGTTGTGATGTCACACTAAAGTAGAGCACTTCAGTGATATATTATAAGGCATCATTGAAATAATGCCTTTCCTAAGCAAGTGCTTATCAAGTGCTGGTAGGTGGTAGGCCACAGTGAGTGAAGAGAAAATTGTGGCTGGCTTGCTAGGCTATACTAACACTGCACACATATAAACTATTAGTGTGTAGCTTGATCAATTCTGACCCAGCTATTAACAGGGTCAAGAGAAGGTGGTGAGAGCACAGAGAGGTCCAGTCAGCATGCACTCTCAAATGGCCCTCAGTGTAGCGTGATAGGAGCCCTTATAAAACAGCCACCAAACTCAGCCACCGTGTTTTTCCATCAGGGTAGACTCAGGCCTCCCTGGCCTGATCCTCTCACTCTGTATCCTCACGGAGCTTCTGCTGAATGAACTCTTCATCTAAATATGGAGCCGAGACAGGAATCCACAACGAGCTGGCTGCGCCGCGGTAAAAATGTAGTAAAGCGTATGTCCCACTGTGCCCTGTCAGCAGCCTTTTAAAGGGATTGTCCCTCCACCTGGCTTGGCTAAAACGGATTTCCCCATGGCTGGTGGGAGGAGAATGAGGGTCTGGGTTTTTTTTAAGGAGAGTGGGACAGGTAAGGCGTTCAAGTGCACTGAAGTGTCTGTCTAACATCCCAAAACGTGATGTCAGACCAGGAGAGAAGCATTTATATTGATTAGCCCCTTTCAATATCTCTTTGCTCTACACTGCTAGTCAATTGACTTTCAAAAGTTTTGCTCTTTTGATTTCTCTTCTTCTTGTCTTACTCTCTTATTTTGAAGATTGTAAGTGTTAATCTCTATTGTCTCATGTCTAACATGCAGTGCCGGCTGCCTCAAAGGATTCAGATCAATCAATGGCAACTTCACAGTAGCTTGTAGGAATGATCTCTATCTGTGAGACAGCAGGAGGGATGGCTGCCTTTCTCCCTCAGGTTACACACACTGTACACTTGCCAACCCTGAGACTACAAAAGTGAAGAGATTTTCAAGACTGGGACATTTTAGGTTGATCTTTTCCTGCATCTGATAAATTCTGAATGAATCAGTTAACAAACATATGGCACAGAAACTGGAAAGAAAGCTTCAGGAGTGAGAAAATCTGGATTCTCCAATCAGGCGTGTTGGCAAGTAAGACATATACACACGCAGACACACACGCAGACAAACACCATTCCACAGCATTCCCCCTCTGCCCTCGACGTCTCCGCTGTAATGCCTGGTGGTGGATACCACCCCGGCTCTACCCAACACAGACAGACACAGCTTCATAATTATTCTGGCAGCCACAAACACTGGCAGAACCATCGCATCTACCCACACTTAATGGCCACTCTGGGAATGGTTGAGCCTTATAACCGGGTATATAATTACCTTTAATGGAGCTTAAATAAGCTTTGAGCTTAAATAAATACATTAAGCCTCGGAACAT